CGTCAGCAAGACCAAAAGAGAAACGATGATAATCTCAACAGATCTTTCTTTAAAAAAGACCATAAAAATTGTTAAAAAGACCAATAGATGAATTCTTACCTGCTCAACAGTTATCAAGACTTTGCCACATTTATTCATGCTCTATCTGTTTTTCTTTGTGATATATTTTAAGGGAAATCCCAGGCTTCATTGTGACAGGAGTACAGAGCCATGGTGATTAAAGGGATGTGAAGGGGGCTTCTCGTCAGTCTAATTGCTTTTCTCCTCTCACTTGCCCTAATAACAGCTACATCCTACTGCACACAATCTATGTGCTAAATGCTTTAAGTTCATCATCTCATTTCATCCACAACATATCCCCATTTATTAGTGAGGGAACTGGGGCCTGGTCTCACTATTAATTAATAGAGACAGCTTTTCCACCCAAGTCTCTACAAAATTTTTAGCCACCACATAAACGTGGATTCCAAGGGACAAATCTAATTCAAGCTTCTTAAGAAAAACAAAGAGGGGTACAGGAGGAAGATACTCTTCCTGAACCGTTACTCAGTACCGTCTATCCATGCCTCTCTATGCACATCAGCTTTTCTCCCCTTGGTGAGGACATGGCATTTCCTGGCTCACATACTCCAGAGAGGCAGGAAGTTTCCTCTCTGGCTTCAAAATAGAAAACCCTGGTGGGAGATGAGTTACTGTGATTGGCTCATTCTGGGCTCTGTGCCCACCTCTGTAGCCAGAGGGATGGAGATTTTTACCGAAGGAATGAGGGGAGTGATGCTGGGCCTACAAAAACACCACCTTCCAGTTTCACAGATTAGAGATGGTGCAGGTGGAAGACCAAGTTCCTGGATTAGGTACTCGAGGTGAAGGCACGCCGCCATACTTGAAAGCAATTGGAAAAATCTGTTGATACAGAGTACAGCGAACCTTGTAAATTTTTCATTACTGAGAGAATTTTTAAAAAAAGTAAAGCATTCGTACAGTACCTGCCATGTAACAAATGCGCCATAAATGATGGCTTTTATGATTCACAATTGGTCCCAATTGGAATCTTGCTTCTCCTCTCTTGCCAGCCTCATTCTTGGCCTCATACTACATCAGCCACATTGCATTTTCCAAATGTGCTGTGCACTCTTATGCCTCCATACCCTTATACATGCTGTTCTTATTATCTACAGAGTAGTTTATGGAGACATTTCTATGAATTTTTAAAAATTATTATAAATAGAGATGGGGTCCCGCCATTTTGTCCAGACTGGTCTCAAACTCTTGTGCTTAAACGATCCTCCTGCCTCAGCCTCCAAAAGTGCCGAGATTACAGGCATGAGCCCCACTGCTCCTGGCCTCTAAGATTTCGACTATATTACCTGAGTTCTTCAAGACTGAATAAGGAAAAAAGGGATGTAATATTTAGGTTTTCAAACAATCACAAGATTCTACACCATTGGTTACTAAAGAAAATGGGAAAATGTTTTGTTAGGAATCCAGATAATTGGAATAAATGGGTGATGATCTATATGGGAAAGTATTAACAATGTGGTCATCTAAGAATGAATACTGAGACAGGTCTTGAAATATTGGTGTGTCTGTTAAAAATTATCTGTAAATTACCTGCTGAAGCACATGGTGAAATCTCCAGACATGCTCTTTATAGCAGTGAAATGCCAAGGTGCTGGAGATAATCTTGGGAAATTTTTACTACGAATAAAGATGAAAAATGACAGATGATCTTCTATAAGGGTCACTGTTGGAAGAACAACTGAATATGATGATGTAGTGAATGGAACTACTTAATAATAACAGCATATATAAGGGTATGGAGGCATAAGAGTGCACAGCACATTTGGGAAAATGCAATGTGGCTGATGTAGTATGAGGCCAAGAATGAGGCTGGCGAGAGAGGAAAAGCAGGATTCCAATTGGGACCAATTGTGAATCATAAAAGCCACCATTTATGGTGCATTCATTATGTGGCAGGTACTGTACTACGCTTTACAAACTTTTTTTGAATCCTTTCAGTAATGAAAAATTTACAAAGTTCACTGTATCCTGTATCAACAGGTTTGATGTAGTGAATGGAATTACAGGAACGAGTCTGGGAGTCGTCATCAGTCATTCCTTACCCAATACGCTGGTGTATTTAAACGAGCCAGTGGATTGCTGAGCATCATAAGGAAGAGGATTCAAAACAAAACAGTAAACAGAAGGGTTCCTTTGAATTTCTTACTTGAACTAGGCAGTTGAAAAGTGATTGGCGTCAATAAGATCCTGAAGCCTTTGCCAAATATTAAAGAAGTAAAATATAGGCCAGGAAAGTTGGCTCATGCCTGTAATCCCAGCACTTCGGAAGACTGAGGTGAGAGGATCATTTGAGCCTAGGAGTTTGAGACCAGCCTGGGCAACATAGTGAGACCCCATCTTGGCAAACTTTTTTGTTTTTTTTCTTAATTAGCCAGGCATGGTGGCACGTGCCTGAGTCCCAGGTACTCAGGAGGCAGAGATGGGATCATTTGGGCCCAGGAAATCAAGGTTGCAGTGAGCCGTGATCATGCCACTGCACTTCAGCCTAGGCAATAGAGCAAAACCCTGTCTCAAAAAAAAAAAAAGGTAAAATGTATGATTTCAAATAGAAAAAGGATTGCAGAGCTATGAGCAAACTAAGGCAAGTACAAAGGTTGAAATATATTTTAAAATTATTTGGGGGAAAATACAAGCACAGAAAAAAGGATGAAAGGAAATACCCCCAATTTTAAACTGTATATTATTTCTAGGTAGTGGGATTATCGGTGAGTTTCATTTCCTTCATAAATTATATCTTCAAAAATTGTTTTGCAATTGATACGAATTACAAATAATTGTTTGACACCAAATAATTTTACAATTATACTCCCACCCACTGAATGGGTTCCCTTCGTTACATAGATTCATCATCACTCCATGTAGTCAGATTTTGTAGTTTTGCCATTGTAGTGGACTGTCAAAACACTACATAGACTATGGGACAATTTTTTGTAATGCCAAACGCGAATGGAACTAAGCCGTGTTGTTCAACGACACATTTTCATGTGGTAATAAAACTTAGAAAATGAGTGTGGGTGAATGATTTACATAAATTTAGGATAATTTTCTTATATCCCTGAATGGGGAAGGGTGGGGCACCCGGTGAGGATCGGATGGAAAGGCCTGCCTGAGGAGATTCAGTGAATGTTGGTAAAGCTCTACTTCATAAATTAGGTGGTATGTTCATCATGTTTCATAATTTACATATTATTCTGCAATTTTCTTTTCCCTTTTTTTTTGACACACGAGTCTCACTCTGTCACCCAGGCTGGCAATGGTGCGGTCTTGCTCACTGCAAGCTCCGCCTCCCGGGTTCAAGCGATTCTCCTGCCTCAGCTTCCCGAGTAGCTGGGATTACAGGCGCCCTCCACCACGTCCGGCTAATTTTTATATTTTTAGTAGAGACGTGTTTCACCATGTTGGCCAGGCTGGTCTTGAACTCCTGGCCTCAAGTGATCCGTCCGCCTCGACCTCCCAAAATGCTGGGATTACAGGTGTGAGCCACTGCGCCCAGCCGCAATTTTCGATCATAAAGATTTACAACTTAAAAACTGGAAGGCACCAGGCCTCAAGTCTACTCGCAGCCCGCCCGGGCGGCCAAAGCACCCTGGGCCGGCGATTTGGGCGCGCAATCGCACCATGGGGGCGGAGCCTCGCCACTCAGTTCACGCCTGCGCTCTGCGTCCAGCCAATCAGCGACGTGTCCGGATGAGGCGAGACGCGCTTTTTTCCTGTGCGAATCCCAGCTTGCCTCAGAAGCGCCGCGGAGAAGGGGCCGCTTGAGGTGAAGCGCGCGTGTGGAGGAGTTGTGGAGGACGCCTGTCGACGACCGGTAACTGGGCCTCAGCCATTGCGGTTTGTTTCAGGTGTGGGCAGGGCAGGCGTCTGTCTATCTTAGGTGTCCAGGCCAGAGGCTGCCCTTGACCAGTGAGGTAAATCTTACCTCCTGGTGGTGCCTGGGGCCTCTGACGAGAAAACGGAGGCCGCGAACCTCACTGGGGAGAGGGGCGGGCGGGCGGGCTGGGCCGGGCCCCATCGCTACACCCTGGGACCACTGACAGCAGAGACGCGGCGGGGCCGGGCAGGGCCCTACCTCGCTCGGCGCGTGTCGCCCTCCTGCCCGCTCCACACCGAGGGCGCCTTTCGTGGTTCCTCAGTATTATTTATTGTCGAAATCTTTTGCCGACGTTCACTTTCCGAGACCTAAATTGCGGGACGTTTTTATTGTGTATGTGTCTTGATTATTATGAGCTTATTTCTGGCATCCTCATGACGTGTCCCGCCAGCAACTCTAATTTCCCCGTGTGACTGAGCGGCCTGCTAGAGTTGCCCAGATGTAGCCAGCATCGGGCAGGGGCGCTCCCAAAATTCGGATCTCCCAGGCCTCAGGGGCCACCTCTCCAGCACAGCGCGCTTGGGGTCGGGGTGGACGCTGTCATTCCCTCATCGATTGACTGATTGAGACGGAGTCTCGCTCTGTCACCCCGGCTGGAGTGCCGTGGGGCCATCTCGGCTCACTGCAACCTCCGCCTCCCGGGTGGAAGCGATTCTCCTGCCTCAGCCTCCCGAGTAGCTGGGATTACGGGCACCTGCCACCAAGCGCGGCCAATTTTGTATTTTTAGTAGAGATGGGGTTTCACCATGTTGGCCAGGCTGGTCTCGAACTCCTGACCTCAAGTGATCCGCCCGCCTCGGCCTCCCAAAGTGATGGGATTATAGGCATGAGCCACTGCGGGCCTTTTTGTTGTTGTTGTTCTTTTTTGAGACGAAGTTTCACTCTTGTCACCCAGGCTGGAGTGCAGTGGCGCGATCTAGGCTCACTGTAACCTCTGTCTCCCGGGTTCAAGCGATTCTCCCGCCTCAGCCTCCTGAGCAGCTGGGACTATAGGCATGCGCCACCACGCCCGGTTAATTTTGTGTTTTTTTTTTTTCAGTAGAGATGGGGTTTCACCATGTTGGCCAGGCTGGTCTTGAACTCCTGACCTCAGGTGATCTGCCTGCCTCAACCTTCCAAAGTGCTGGGATTTCAGGCGTGAACTACCGTGCTTGGCCTATTTAGTTTTTAACAAATATCATTATCTTCTTAACTTTTGGCCCCCCAAATAAATGAGGAAACTGTTAAAATTGTATTCAACAATCCTCGTTCGATATCTCCTTTGATATTTAAACGTTTACCAGTGTATTAAAATGATGCCTTTGGATTCAGAAGGTTCAAGAAATTTATTTTTTAAAGTCAGGAAGCATCTAAATATGGTGTCCTCCGGAAAAAAGTATTCCAGGAAATCTGGGAAGCCGTCCATGGAAGATCAGTTTACGAGAGCCTATGACTTTGAGACTGAAGAAAAGAAAGATCTGAGTGGTTCAGAGGAAGATGTTATTGAAGGTGCAGTACATCTCATGTTGGGCAGTGATGTCCTTCAGTTAATTTGTTTTGAACCCATTAAAGACTATCGTACAACTTAGTTTGTAAAGGATTTTCAGGTATAGTCTTTCATCCCCCGGAATTTGTGGTTTCAGAACCTGCTGACACAGATGGCCAGCTGTACTTTGTGTTTCTCATTTGATCCTTATATTGCAGTATCGGAGTTACAGAAACTTATTTGGCAACTCTTGCTTTTACAGTTATTTCCAAAATATCTGATATAGAGTATGTGGCTTACTGTGACATTAACCCAGGCAGACTTGAAAAATTATTCCTATAAAATTGTCCTGAATCCTGATTTAATTTCATCTAACCTGCAGATTATACTGCGTTTGTATGTCTGCTTTGAAACTGTATGTTGGCAAAAAGCCTAAAAATCCCCAAATGAAGATGTTTCATTAAAATTTACCAAAATAGCCTACTCAGTTTCAAAAGTTGTTGTGTTTTTTTTTGTTTTTGTTTTTTAAATTGTCAACACAGGGAAGACTGCAGTCATTGAGAAACGTAGGAAGAAAAGGTCTTCTGCAGGAGTAGTTGAAGATATGGGGTAACGTTCAAAATAATTTTTGTTTCTTAGATAAAGCACTTCAAGAAAAGTTGCTAACAAATAATATATGTACAATACTTGGCATCTGGTATTTCTTCCAAAACAAACATGATATTTTGTGGATCTTCAAAAGTGTTTAAAATGTAATTTCTTTCCAGGGGTGAAGTACAGAATATGCTGGAAGGAGTTGGAGGTATGTTTTAGGAGATACTTGTATTTAAAGAAAATTGTTTTAAGCCATATAATTTGTATAATAGCAAATGTTAATAATGGACTATAAGACTGTTATTTAATGCTTTGTTCTCACATAGAAGATTCTGTGTAAGTCTTTGTGATTTAGCATCATAGATTTTCATAGTTAATCTTTTCCATGATGTTAAGAGTGAGGTGCTTTTATTTTATACATATGTGTATTTAATGGATATGAAATTTTAGAAGAAAAATAGAAAAAGTCTTTACCCTTCTTTGTATTCACAGACTAAGTATTCACACACATACATACATATATTTGTATAAGTTTTTCATTTTTTCAGTTTAGTTATTTTCTGACTTTTCCTGTGTTCTTTTCTTTAGCGAGGACAGTGTAAATTAAGCCTCTAAAATAACTCTTTTTACAGTAATAAACTATGTAGTTGATACTAAAGACAGTTTTGCTAGTGAGAGTTTTATAATTAGGTTCAAAAATTCTCAAGTTTTAAATAATATGTGAAGTATCAGTAATATGAGCTTTGTTAGGGATTAGTTATCTTAAAAAAAAGTTAATATTTAGCTCCTCTAAATGGATTATTCACACATTCAAATCTTTTTTGAAAGCTCTGCCCTGTCCAGTGGTGAAAAAGTGCTTGTTTTATAAATTTATTATAGATAATATTGAAAGTATAAAATATTTATGTAATAGTACAGCTCCAGCATGATTACTGAAAGATGCCTATTTATGATAGATCCATAAGATAAAGGCTTATGTTTAGCAAAGCATTCTTTGAAGTAGTAAACATTTTATGAAATGCAGTTCTTATGGGTAAAAATGCCCAGTAAAGAGCTCCACAAAAGCATTTAAAACTGATCTTACTCACCTATTTCTCATTGAAAAATAAAGTGATCTTGAATTAATTTATCTAGAAATTTACTTAAACTAAGATTTTTTTCTGTCCTTGGTCTTTGTCTCCTTTAGTAAAAACTGTATTTAAAAGTATCACTGATGGCCAGGCACAGGGGCTCACACCTATAATTCCAGCACTTTGGAAGGCCAAGGCAGGAGGATTGCTTGAGGCCAGGAATTCGAGACCAGCTTGGTCAACATAGTGAGACCCCCATGTCTTTAAAAAATATATATATATACACACACATATATATATAAATATAATTGATTATATTTAAAATAGTTTTCTTCTTTAACTTTTTATCCTTTTTGGATTCTGTATTTTAACAGAGTACTTTTACATATTTTCTATAATGAGTTCTAACAATAATTCATTGAAATGTGTCCTTTTAATTGGGGCATATTTTATAAATTTAGAAAAATTTAGCCTTAAAAAATTTTTTTTTTTTAATTTTTGAGATGGAGTCTCACTCTGTCCCCAGGCTGGAGTGCAGTGGTGCAATCTCAGCTCACTGCAACCTCTGCCTCCCAGGTTCAAGCGATTCTCCTGCCTCAGCCTGCCGAGTAGTTGTGACTACAGGCGCACGCCACCATGCCCAGCTAATTTTTGTATTTTTAGTAGAGACAGGATTTCACCATGTTGGCCAGGATAGTCTCGATCTTTCGACCTCGTGATCCGCCCGCCTCGGACTCCCAAAGTGCTGGGATTAAGAGGTGTGAGCCACTGCGCCTGGCCTAAATTTGGTCTTTATTAACAGTGTTTTCTCATGGGGAAATTTGAAGTCTGTCCTTTACACATTGTTTTGTTTATTAGCTCTTTTTTATTGTTCCTAAGTTAAAAAATTATCTCCAGTTAGGAAAATCAGAATTTGGGTGCTAGTAATAGAAAGTTTTCTCAGAAAAAAAAGTAAGCAAATAATTCTGCATTTTGAAATTATGCATATTTCTAAATTTATGTTTAAATGTCTTTCCAATATTGCTGAACCAACCTTACCCATATTTACTTGAATATGTGGGAACAAAATACTTTTTTAAACATTAAATTTTAATGAATTATTATTTTCAATCTAGTTGACATTAACAAGGCTCTTCTTGCCAAGAGAAAGAGACTAGAAATGTATACAAAGGCTTCTCTCAAAACTAGTAACCAGAAAATCGAACATGTTTGGAAAACACAACAAGATCAAAGGTAAGGTGGCTGTTTTTTTTAGAGCCACATTTCTTAGTATTTACTGGTGTAAATTACTTATGAAAAATACTATTCTAGGCTGGGCATGGTGGCTCATGCCGGTAATCCCAGCACTTTGGGAGGCCAAGGCGGGCAGATCACTTGAGGTCTGGAGTTAGAGACCAGCCTGGCCAACGTAGTGAAACCTCATCTCTACTGAAAATACAAAAGTTAACCAGGCGTGCTTGCTTGAACCCAGAAGGCAGAGGTTACAGTGAGCCAAGATCGTGACACTGCACTGTAGCCTGGGCAACAGAGTGAGACTGTCAAAAAAAAGAAAAGAAAAGAAAAATACTATTCTAGTTACTGGGGTTTCTAGTGAAAATGTATTTGGCTTGATTTTTCTCTAAGTATGATAGTCCTGTAGCCCTATAACCTCACTCCTTCATAGAATTGACATTATTTCCTAAAAAATGAATAAAGATCACTTTTTTCCTTTTAGGTAACAAGTGAGGTTATAAAAGTAATTTCTTTTTTTGTTGTTGTTTTATGAGATGGGGGTCTCATTATGTTGCCCAGGCTGGTGTTGAACTCCTAGGCTCAAGTGATCCTCACACCCCAGCCTGCCAAAGTGCAGGATTATAGGCCTGAGCCACCATGCCTAGCCTAAAAGTAATTTATATTCATTCTAGAAATACACTAGTTGAATAAAAGGTAAATGTCATAAAAACCGTTAGTCTTATGATAGTGAATTATGTTCAACACTGTAGAAAAACACCAATCTTATATCATATATAATTTGTATGTTTTAGCTGACTTAACTCTTCTTTTGCATAAAATCTTTGTTAAGCCAAAATAGGAAAAAAAATTAAGTGAACTATTGCTATTTAGAAATCTTATAGGATAAATACAATCACCTTATTTAATCTATTTATTATATCGGAACCTATGTTCAATAGGAAAAAAATGAAAAACTGCTTAGAGATAAGATGAATTTCTTTTTGAAAATTTATATATATAATAAAACTTCCTTAGTTTTCAAGAGCTAAAGCTTGTGACAGGGCTTTTCTTCTATTAGTTTGTTAGAAAAAAAAAATACTTCTAGAATCAGTGTAAATCATAATTTTACTTTTTGGTTTCCCATCAGAAGACTTAAGCTGCAGGTATTTCCTTTTCTTATATAGTATAAATATGTCAACTCAGTTTTGTTTTAAATTCTTTTTATATTGTTATGAAATATGACAAGAATTCATCATTATGTTTTACAGGCAGAAGCTAAACCAAGAATATTCTCAGCAGTTTCTGACTTTGTTTCAGCAGTGGGATTTAGATATGCAGAAAGCTGAGGAACAAGAAGAAAAAATACTTGTTGGTATCATGATTAGGTTTATAATTAATCCGTTATAACTAAGTCTCAAGTAGGAATGGAGAACCTAGCCTTTTCCTGTGACCAATGGAACTGAGCCAGGTTTCATTAACCATTGCTGGCCATGTGTTTTAGTCCTGCTGAACTGTAAACCACAGACATATAGGCACTTACCATACTCATAAAAGGCATTGGTCTTTGCTTTTGATATTGTTTGGGATTCTTGCATTTCCAAGTGACAGAAATTTGTCAAAGTGCAAAAGAAGGATTATTGGTTTATATAAAAGAAGTCGGGGCAGTTTAGCTTCAGGCATAGCCAGATAGGAACAGGGAAGGGGGTTGCTCATGTAGTGTCATCTGGGTTCTGTCATCAGTTCTCAGTAAGGTGTCTCAATGTAGTAGCAAGATAGTTTTTACAGTCTTAGGCTTATTAGAAATTTAGTAACCCCAGTGGACTGAGAAAATCTTTCTCAATAGCTCTGGCAAAAAATTCCTGTGGGAAAATATGACTGATGTAGTTTGGATCATTTGTCCATTCTTGAACCAATCATTGTATAGTTAGCCCTCTGTACATAAGGGCTCCACATCTGTATTCAACCAATCGTGGACGAAAAATATTTGGAAGAGGCTGGGCGCAGTGATTCATGCCTGTAATTCCAGGATTTTGGGAGGCCAAGGTGGGTGGATCACCTGAGTTCAGGAGTTTGACACCAGCCTGACCAATATGGTGAAAACCCATCTCTACTCAAAATACAAAAATTAGCCAGGCTGTGGTGGCGCGTGCCTATAATACAAGTTACTCAGGAGGCTGAGGTGGGAGAATCACTTGAACCTAGGAGGCGGAGGTGGCAGTGAGCCGAGATTGTGCCACTGCATGCCAGCCTGGGTGACAGGGGGAGACCCTTTCTTAAAAAAAAAAAAAAAAAAAAAGAAAACAAAAAAAGGTACAAATCAAAAAAGGTACAAAGTAGAAAAATAATCCAGTGTTACAACTATATAGCATTTACATTGTGTTAGGCGTTATAAGAGATCTAGAAATGATTTAAAGTTTGTGGAAGGATGTGCATTGGTTATATGCAAATATGATGCCAATTTGTATCAGGAACTCGAGCATCTGCACATTTTGGTCTCCTGAAGGGTTGGGTGTCCTGGAACTGGTCCCCTAGGATACCTAGGTATGTCTGTAGTCAGAACATGGTTGACTTTTAGTGGCCAGACTTGTGTTAACCTGCAAGTGAGGATATTAGGGGTAGGGATTAACAGTGTAAAATAGATAGGATGGATTTGTGGTGCTGATAGATTATTGAGCTGTAGTACTAAAGAGAGTAAGTTAGAATGGTAAAGAAGTAGTGGTTAAATACTAGGATATATAGAGAGACAGTATGTGTAATGGTTAGAGCCTGGATGCCAGCAACAGTACTGTTCGGGATCAAATTCTTGTTTGAGCAATTGTAGCTGTGAAACCATGGACAGATTATGCCTCAGTTTACTCATCTATGAAAGGGGAATGAGTATCTCTTAGTTTACCATTATTAATACTGTGTAGTGGTTATTGGTAATGACAAAATCTAGGGTGGGAGTATGTAAGTCAATGGCTAAAGTAGGGTGGAGGCCAAAATCATTGAGAAACAGGTGACGGAATGGAAAACCATTATTATTGGAAGGATCATCTGTGTGGACATTGAAATCACCAAGAATTAAGACGTCTTGATTATTGTTAAAATTTCCCATTCAGCAACTGGTAGGATTAATGTATTGTTACATATTAGTGGTGAATGTAAATTATCTAAACGTAGTCATAATAGTTGTTAAAACTAAATTTTAAAAACATTGATTTTTAACACATTCTTTTAATGTAGAATTATTTTTTCTAAATTTAAAATTTTACCCAAATTGTTAAGTTTTTTTCTATTTGTAGAATATGTTTCGACAGCAACAAAAGATTCTTCAACAATCTAGAATTGTTCAGAGCCAGAGACTGAAAACAATTAGACAGTTATATGAGCAGTTCATAAAGGTTTGTTGTATGTGGTAACACAATACATTGTTATAAGACATTATTTATGGAAGTAGAAGATAATTATTTTTTTTCTAAGTTTATGGGAAAAAAAATTTTAGACTTTAACTACTTTTCCATTTTGAATTCATTGTTTCTGATTTAAGTGATAAATGTATTTTTACTTGAGGATTCAAATGGTTTTGTTGGGATTATTCAAGACAGGAAATGGTAAAATGGGAATTTTACTTAGAAATGTATTTATCATGCATAAAATCTATACTTTAATAACACTTTAGTCATAGTTCTCTGTTTAACTGAAAATAGAGTCTATAGTAATCATTTTTAGGTTGTATTTTACTTGTTTTTGTTTCCCCAGTGTTTGTTAAATAGAAAGTACCCAAATTATTGAATTCTTTTGTTTTCAAATGTATAATAGAAGTATTTTATGGCACATTTGCTTTTAGAATGATTACAATGACCACAAATGAATCCAACATAAAATAATAGATATAATAGACATCTGAGGATTAAAAGTCTGTGGATTGATAATTATCTGCTGACACATACATATTAGCAAATTGTGCCTGTACCCCTCTTGTTCAGGAAGAAATATACCTTTTAGTAACTCTTCATAGAAGCTCAATGGAATCTTGCATATACTTTTTTTCAGTGGTGGTTCCTTTAGATACTCTTGTGCAAATACATGTTAAAATAACATTAAAGAAATTGGGACTCTCTGAGTAAACTAGTAAAATTGTTTTAAAATAAATATTTTAGAATAACTTAAAAATAATATATATGGCCAAGCACAGTGGCTCACACTTTGGGAGGCCAAGGCAAGAGATCACTTGAGCCCAGGAATTCAAGACCAGCCTGAGCAACATGACAAAACCCCATCTCTATTAAGAACAAACAAACAAAAATAGCTGGGCATGGTGGCACTCACCTGTAGTCCCAGCTACTGGGGAGGCTGAGGTGGGAGGATCACTTGAGCCCTTGAGGCAAAGGTTGCAGTGAGCTGAAATCACACTACTGTACTCCAGCCTGGGCAACAGAGCAAGACCCTGCCTCAAAAAAAAAAAAAAAAAAAAATTATACACAGACACACACACACATTATTTTAAAAAGTATTTCCAAGTGGAAAACTTGTTCTAATGCTCCGAGAACCATTTGGTAATTTGTGTGAAGGTTTGATAAAGTACTAGAAGATTTCTTCCAAATGTTATCACTAAATGTTACTGTTTAGGATAGGAACTATAGTATAACCTTTGATTCCTCCATCTCCTTTCTCTGTCACATCCAGTTATTAGTAGCTCTGTAATTTTTACTTCTGCAGTGGTTCTTTCTTTTAATGCCCACTGCTACTACCCTAGTTTAGGACCTCATTATTATTTGCTTGTACCATTAAAATTCTTAACTGATTTCTCTGTTCTCCAATCTATCCTTCCTAGATCTGTCATACTATCTTTTAAAAATATATCTCTTCCCTCTTGAAAACTGTCAGTAGCCTCCCATTCCAAATTCTTAGGTATTCAAGATTCCTCTATGACATGACCCTCTTTGTAAGCTTCATTTACTACATTTGTGCATTACCCCACCCCTCCACATAACTGCTTTCTCTCAACTCACTATGTACTTCCATGCTTCGCTTATGCCCTTCCCCTAGAATATTTTTAACTCCTTTTTCTTTATCTATTGAAATCTTAGTGTTTTGCCCACTAAATTGGAATTAATCCCCATTTTCCACTATATTGCCATAGCAAGTTGTGCTTCCATTCCTATTACAAAATTTTTGTTTTGTTTCTACATGTTTTTCTCATTGCCATCAGGAAGCAATCATGTATTATTATTTTTTAACTTCTCCACAATGCTTAATAAAGCACCTTTTACATAGTAGGCACTAGATTAACTATTTGTTGAATGAATAATAAAGATGTAAGACATAATTTTTATTTTTCATAACATGAAAGAGGTTGTACTATAGATTATTTTATTCCCTCTAGTGAATTCATGGCACACTATTAGTCATAAGTAGATTATTACTTGATATTTGGAAAGCTTAATAGAAATGGTGTTTACTGATATGGGACTTCCAGTCTTTTTTATCTTGACCTTAACAGTTCAGGAAACCAATTTTGGGTAAAGTATACTACATTGTACTTCCTATAACATTTTATTCATGTCTGATATTTTTTTCTTTTATAGTAGGTATTTTGGTATTCATGTATTACTTAGAATATTTTTATTTCAAATAAATAATGAGCATTTGAATATTTAAAAATTACTACTTTTGAAAATTAATTGTACAAGTTTAGAACCTGAGATGAAAAGTGGTGCTTTGTAACTTAACTAGTTTTTTGTGTTCTTAGAGTATGGAAGAGTTGGAGAAGAATCATGATAATCTACTTACTGGTGCACAAAATGAATTTAAAAAAGAAATGGCTATGTTGCAAAAAAAAATTATGATGGAAACTGTAAGTGATCATACTGAAATTGAAAAAAATAAGGATTAATATAAGCAATGAAATATTTTATTTGCTGAAATAGGTATAACACTTAACTAAAAATTAAACAAATGTTTAATATCTCCTTCCATGAAACAGCAGCAGCAAGAGATAGCAAGTGTTCGGAAGTCTCTTCAATCCATGTTATTCTGATGACTCTTTGAAGAAAGAACTTGAACCTAAGTAATATGATACAATTATAATGTTAGCTAAGAAGCATATTGTAAGTCTTTAGAATAGTTTAATTGTAACATCTTTAATCATAAACCTGTTTCATTGTAAGACCTCCCTTTCTGTTAAGTCAAATCTAAATAGTTCTATGAGTTAGCAACTATTCCTAAAGAATATGTATTAAGCTTTCAGCTCTTTAGTAATGATAGGGAATTTTTCTCTCTAACACTGTCAATTAAATAAAGACGATTTAAGTTTAGGTTTGGCTTCATTGTATGTGTATCAATCCCAAAAGGTAGAAACTGCAAGTATAGAAGGTTATATTCTTTAAGGAAAAAACGGAATACAAAATCTATTTTACATGTACATCCTTTTCTATAATACTTAAGTTATACAACCAATTCTAATGACAATAAGATGCATTTAAATTTGTGTTCTGGAATAAATTGTTAAAATCATTAACCTCTGAGCATTAAATCACTAGCAATAGAACAATATATAAGTATCAGTTTTAATACATGGGTTTGTGAATATGTCATTGCCACAAAGACATTAAAATGTCACTTAATTGGGCTTGGTCTGCAATTAAGAGCACATCATTAACACTCCTAATTACTTATGGTTTACATATGTCACATCTGTGTTTATTTTTTGAGATGGAGTCTCACTCTGTCACCCTGGCTGGAGTGTGGTGGTGCAATCTCAGCTCAGAGCAACCTCTGCCTCCCAGGTTCAAGCAATTCTGCCTCAGTTTCCCAAGGGACTACAGCTACCACGCCCAGCTTATTTTTGTATTTTTAGTAGATATGGGGTTTCGCCATGTTGGCCAGGCTGGTCTCGAACTCCTGACTTCAAATGATCTGGCCGCCTCGACCTCCCAAAGTGCTGGGATTACAGGTTTGAGCCACCATGCCTGGTCTCCTGCTTTTCCATGTTTTAACTTCTAATTTTTGCCTCTATAACTCACCCTTATCTTAGTTATAAGGTTTTCCAAGTTTTAAAAAAACAGGTGCCTACAGATAAACTTTTTCTAATTGTGACAACCTACTTGTACAGGAAGAAATTAGTCTTCCACTGTTAATGAATATTTGACATTACTTCCTAAATTTTTGAACTTTGTAAAGGATTTTCCTTTTAAGTCAATATATATATAGGAATATAAATTGTAAGTACTATTCATCCTCGTAAGAAAGTCCTTATTTAGGAAGTTTTACCAATAGTTAGAGGCAAAATAAGTACTCTAGTGTTTGCTGTGTACTTCATTCCCGTATGTTTTTTTGCTTTTAAGGAATATCATCTTTTACTGCTTTCGTCAATATACCTTTTTCTTGCCTAAAACAGATGTAGTACATAAATTACTCCTTTATTTTTTGATTACTTCATCGTATGGCATACAGTCTACTGAACTATTACATAAAATTAAAAATAGGGTCAGATGGGACTCTGAAGATTTGGATCCCCAGAGACCTTTGTAATAGTTCTAGTACTATTCACAATGAGTAATCCAAATACATTTAAATTAGAGGGGAAAGATAAGAATCAGTACCTAATGTACTTAGTGGTTGAAAACTTTTACTTATTTTGTCCCTTATCACCTCAAATGAGTCAGTGTATACTTGAAGTAACTTTTATATTCTAAAAGGAAGATTTTTTTTACCATGTTTTTCTAAGTTACTAATTTTCTTACATGTCAACTGACTTTTAGCTACTGTTTCATTTTTCATGAAAGGGAATATTTAACATCCACTTTTTGGTGACAGTGAAATTTTAACTTAAAATATCAAGGAACAAGTTACCTTCAGTGTAAAGATGCGTATGTTTTTCTGAACTGGTACAACAAATTCCTTTTATTAAATACACATTTTATTTAAAAAGTTCCTGTAGCCCTTTTAAATTCTAGTATACTAAAAACAAGTATTTTTTTTATGACATACTAATTAACATGCCTCTTTTGAAAAATGATTAGTATAAAACATTTCTTAGAACATCACTTGACTCAGTAATTACAATATTATAAGCCATGCACTTAAGCAGTATTGAGCTCACTTTCAGTTTTTAGCAATCAAGGTAAGCACCCTCAAGATGGCTAAAATCCTTTATGTTCTGGATATTTATGTAATCCTTTGGTGGTGAAAACCCTGTGTCTGATACATCTCAGAGACAAACTGCTACTTAGAATTACAGGGTTCACTTTGTTGCCCTCAGGATTGACCTTTCTTTCTTTAGTCTTGTTTCTAATTAATATGTAGACTATTCTGAGAACATCTATGATAAAAAATGATAATACACACAATGGGGGTGTCATAACTGAAATAGACACAACAAAATCTACAGGGTTTATGTTTTATATTCAAATATAACCTTATTTATGGTATACTAGCCTCCTGCACAGGGGGATTTCCTTCACTCATAGATTCCCCTAACTTCATCTCCTCTTTTCCTTGGGCTATTAGTCAGTCAATATGCTTGTGAACCTGTTCAGGTGCTTGATGACATGTAGTCTTGAATATACTTAGATGAAGGTGTCTTGAAATTTGCAGGCACAAAGCACTAAAGTATATCACCATATCAAATGAAGAAATCACCTTTAGAAGCAAAAAAGAAAATATAAAATGAATTATGATGTATCTTTTCTCAAGTAGCACTATTCTGTTTCTCCCCCAAATATCAAACCTTAACCTAAAATTCTACACCAAAAATACTTTTTTTTTTTTTTGAGATGGAGTCTCGCTCTGTCACCCAGGCTGGAGTGCAATGGCGTGATCTCGGCTTACTGCAACCTCCACCTCCCAGGTCCAAGCAATTCTCCTGCCTCAGCCTCCCAAGTAGCCGGGATTACAGGCGCCCACCACCACGCCCAGCTAATTTTGTGTATTTTTAGTAGAGATGGGGTTTCACCATGTTGGCCAGGCTGGTCTCGAACTCCTGACCTCAGGTGATCCACCCACCTCGGCCTCCCAAAGTGCTGGGATTACAGGCGTGAGCCACCATGCCCGGCAAATACTACATTTTAAAGCACTTTAATACATTTCAAATTTGGACCTCACTGTAGTCCTCTGGAAAATGCAGGTTATTTCACAGTTACAGACACTGAGGCTCAGAGGCAAAAAAAGACAACTAAAATACAGAAGCTAGAAAGTAACAGAACCCAAGTCTCCTGATTCCACATTGTTTCAACTTCCTGCTGTGCCACGAAGCAGCAAATTTCCTTCTAGAAGAGGTTATCAGTCATCTTATAATGAACTAATTCCATCATAAACATTTCTATTTCTTTGAGGTTAGTTGTAAGAAGGTAAAAGGTCTAAAAAAGATACCATACTTGAGGCATATACAAAATTATGTTTACAAATTTAAAGATGGCCTCTATTTAGAAACTGCCCAGAGTCTACAGTCAAATGCTTCTCTTCAGAAAATGAAACCCAGGAGAAAAAGGAGCCTTATAGCTCTGCCCTTGGAGAGGGAATTCTCACCCATGAGGGGAAAATCTCTACCATTAACGTTAAAAGTGTACTTGAAAAGCACCATGTTTACCTCCACATTGTGGGTGTGGCTTTTTTTTTTTTTTGTCATCCACATAGTGTTTTAAATAAAAACTGAATTTGACTTCCTCAGTTTACCAGTCTCCATCACAAGTATAAACCAAGCCAATTACTTGTTACAAAAGATGATTGATTTTTTTAACACCTGATATTTTAATTCAACAATTCCACTTGGTAATACATACCTAAGTTCACTAAAAGAAAACTTACATTGAGTTTTCAGATATTTTGATTAATTACCCCCTATTTTTTAAACTGGATTGTTTTAGAGCCCTAAAAATATGTATAGTGGATACCAAATTAAAGGACATTATTCTGATTTTTAAACTTTTTAAAAAATTTTGTCTGAAAACATTCATTGTCCACCTCAAAGAATTAAGTGCATCTCATTGCCACCATAGGAAGAATGGAAGACTTCTGAATGGACTATGAATGAATATTATGTTATTAACTTACTCCAGAAAAAGCATACTACACAACCTAGTAAAGGATCATCAGATGTATTCCTGTAATCCATGCACAGAATTGATACAGATTTTTTAAAATATCCAAATCTAACAAATACAGTGAGATTATTTGAATTATGAAAAGATTCACTGCAGGGTTTTAGCGAGTTTTGTTTTGGTGTACTTCAGTATATTTATATGTCACTATGAATTTGGTGACGACCAGTGGGGTCCAGAAATAGAAATACAACAAAACTATATCTCAATAGAAGAAAAATGCAATAATGCTCCATTTATCCAACTTTGTAATTGAAGTGTTACCAATATTGATTTTATTTTCCTTAGATGGCTAATGTGTCTCAAGCACTATATTCTGTATTTTGTAATTATTTTGAATAGAAATTAATATCTATGACATCCACATCCTTTCCTTAAGCAGGATATAATCAAAGAGAATTTAATTTAATTGATGACCGAGTCATCATTAATACAAATTATGCACTATCCTCAAGGACCATACACATATAAAGGGTTCCTAACGTCTAGCATAAAATGGTCTGAGAATCCTGTACTTTGTAGCACTGTCTATTCTGTTTTGTTTCCTCAATATTAGCTGACAATTCTCAATACAATAAAGTGCCCACCTTTGCTAGTACTAACCCCATCTAATTTTCCTGTTACTTGCTGTAAACTGGGAATAAAGTCCTTTGGGCAGAGTAAAGTGGCTTTTGGCATCTTTGTACTGGTATTTTGGGGAAGAAAAATATAGTTATTTTTAGGTACACAGTTGTGTTTCCAAGAATCTAGGTTGTTGGAAACTTGGCCTATAGATATGTGGCCATTTCTACACACAATATGAAATTATTCACAGCTAAGAAGTAATTTCAAATACAAACATTTATTGTATATATTGTATAGAGTAGATCTGTTTTTTTTTTTTTTTTTTTTTTGAGACAGAGTCTCGCTCTGTCACCCAAGCTGGAGTGCAGTGGCATGATCTCAGCTCACTGCAACCTCTGCCTCGCAGGTTCAAGTGACTGGCCTGCCTCAGCCTCCTGAGTAGCTGGGATTACAGGGATGCACCACCACACCCGGATAATTTGTATTTTTTGGTACAGACAGAGTTTTACCATGTTGACCAGGTTGGTCTCGAACTCCTGACCTCAAATGATCCGTACACCTCAGCCTCCCAAAGTGCTGGGATTACAGGCGTGAGCCACCATGCCCGGCCTAGACTAGATCTTGAGGCTACTGATATCTCACTGAAATAGCTCTTAAGCATGGTTAAAAAATAAATAAAATGGAGAAAAATACTTACCATTGCTATCCATAGAACAA